AAGCTTCACGGGATTCCCATATCCATTGTATCAGATCAAGACCCCTGTTTCACCTCAAGATTTTAGAAGAGTCTACATTAAGCTTTGGGGATTAGACTAAAGTTCAGCACTTCACCACATCCTCTGGGCAATTTGAGAGAACGATACATACCCTGGAGGACATGCTGAGAGCTTGCACCTTATATTTTGGAGGCAATTGGGCTACGTACTTGCCGCTAGTAGAGTTCCCCTACAACAATGGCTTTCATTCTAGCATTGGCATGGCACCTTACGAAGCCCTATATGGGAGGCGATGCAGATCCTCTATTTGCTAGGAAGAGACCGGTGATCATTGATTACTTGGACCAGACGTAATCCAAGAGGCGACTGAGAAGATCCAAACCATTCGGCAACATATGCAGACGACACAAAGTAGGCAAAAGAGCTATGCAGATCGATGACGTAAGGATCTAGAATTTTAGGTTGGTGATCATGTATTTCTGAAGGCTGCACCCATGAAAGGAATATCAAGAGGTGGTAAGAAAGGCAAACTCCATCCGAGATACCTTGGGCCATTCGAAATATTGGAGAAGATCGGACATGTCGCCTATCGGCTAGCCATGCCCTCAGAATTAGAGAAGATCCATAACGTGTTTCATGTCTCAAACCTGAAGAAGTACGTACCAGACCCAAGACACATCATTTCGTACCAAACCTTGCCATTACGGGAGGATCTATCTTATCAAAAATAACCGGTTCGAGTGCTAGGCTTTAAGGAGAAGTAGTTTGGAACAAGTCCATATTGCTAGTTAAAGTGTTATGGAATAATCGAGGCGTTGAGGAGGTAACATGGGAACTAGAATCTGAGATGCGAAAAACATATCCACATATTTTATGGGGCGTTACAAGGATGAACCCACATGACTTCGTCTTTAGGAGTATTGTAGGGTACCATGCCCTTCTCTTTATGTCGATGGGGATCGAGATTCACGACCCAAGTTTCTGTCTGGGGAATTGGTTTTACACCATCTTGAACTTAAACTTCAGCAAAGTCTCCGAATTGTAAGGCAATCATATTTACGGATACCTTCTTTTGATCTTCTCTGAGGGTCAGAACACCTCCCTCTAATAAAACCTGTATCTTGTCTTTCAAGATATATCAATCCTTCGTAGGATGATGCACCATTCTATGATACATACAGTAGTTGGGATCGTTTGTTTTCGACACTTCTTCATGCTTTTTTGCTTCTGGGAGCTTAAGTCTGTTCATCTTCATCAAGGATTTGAAGATCGGGACGATTTGGTCCTCCTTGAAGTCATACCTCCTAGGAGGACGACTATCGGACGATTTGTGTTTTTGCTTAGGCAAGGTCTTAGGCGAAGGATTGGTTTTCACAGCTAATGTGTCATTTCCTTTTGATTGCTTCTGGTTACCCCCTTTCCTTGGGCGAGGCTCACGAGGTTCTTCAGCGTCCATCCTCTTGAGTATATTGTCAACCTGTTCTCCCTGTCAGACTAAGTCTTTCCATGTGTGAGCTTCAACCGTGCCCATCTTCGAAAGTACATTGATGGAGAGATTGTTTCTACACATTTCAATGAGTGTAGCCTCCGGGACCTGATCACGAGAATGTAGTGATCAGTTCTTGAATTTTTTGATAAAGTCATTAACAGACTCCGTCTTCTTTTGTTTTTCGTGCCGTCATCAAAGAACCTGGCCATGAAAAGTCTCTCCAAGTCCTTCCAACATTTGATGGACCCAAGCTTCAATCTTCTGAACCATTCAAAAACAACCCCCTTGAGGGTGCTAATAAATAATCGGGTCATGATAGGATCATTGCCCGTTATATGTTTAGTCTGTGTCTGGAAATAATAGATATGTTGTGAAAGGGAACCCTTGCCGTCGAATTGCACTAGGTTGAGTGGTTTAAACTTCGGAGGATAGGGTACGACATCCCATTCAGAAGGATAGGGCCTGGTCACCCCTATCTCCTTTCAGAAGGATAGGGCCTGGTCACCCTAGCTCCTTAAAGTTTCCTTACAGCTTTAACGCATCCAATTGTTTCTGGAAGTCGTCCAGTTTTTTGTCTCGCTTTTTCGTGTGAGGATTTGATTCAGCCTTGAATGATTTAGAATGAATTTTGAAGATCTCTTCCTCTTCGTCCTCTTGGTCCCCACGGCTAGTTTCTTCAGCAGCGGGCGAAGGTCGCTTACGCCTTGATCCTGAGCCCTCAGTGATAGCTTTCTTCTTTTTCTTTTCTCCAAGAAGTTTCTCTATTATTGCTTCCATGCGCCTGATAGACTCTTGTTGTTTGAGGATAGTTTCTTGTTCTTCTAATCTCCTTGCTGTATCTTCTTCATTTCCGGCCATGTGAGCACTCGTCTGTTCACTTTGATCGGTACTAGAAGGCTATGATGTTGTAATAGCGGAATTCTCAGGTTCTTCATTGACATCATCAGATATGCCAGAAAGTCGTTGATAGTCCAAAGGAATTATTACTCCTGTACGAGTACGAGTGTGTTGATAAACACTCTGTCCTTCAATAAGCGCTCCTCATAACATTGGGGAAAATTTAGGGTCAGAAGATTCTGAGGTATCGGTTAAAGCTTTGCCTTTGCCTTTACCAACCATGTTAATCGTCACATCAACGTGACGATTCTTAGATACTTGTTTCTTAGGACGAAAGCGTCTTCTTCTAGATGTCAAAATCGCCGATGACTGACAATCTTTAAAAAATTATAGATTTATGTGGCGATTCGTCACATGAGAACTGGGAAAGCACTGTTAAAATAAGTTTCTCACAGCAGCAATGAGATTGTATCTGACACATGCTACGTTTGCGTGTGAGGTAGTCACGGAGATCTATGGTGGAACTACCCCCAGTCGATTCTGGGCATTTAGTTTTACTCGAGCAAGACCCTCTAAATGATAGATATTGACGAGCGTGGGTAGTTGTACAAACTTCATCATGACGAGGTTGGTTGGTTGAACGAGCTTGCTACGTTCGCCTTCTCTTTCGACCATCAACTCAAGGTTCATTTTTTTGACGAGCCTGAGTTTGGTCAGCTCGAACACTCATTAGGGTTGGTCGAACTTCGCATTGGGAACGAGGTTCATTAACTGAGCCTGTTTGGGTGCGGGGATGAGGTTCGTCATTTGAACGTTCCTCAGCCAATCGACCCTTGGATTGATCTCCTTTCGGTCGATAGTGGAAACCGTCCAACAAGACCAATACTCGAGCCTTTCGGCGAGCTTGATTCTGTCTTCGACGTTGTCGTGCATGTCTCGAAAGTGGAGCAACAACAGATCCTGCCTCAGTCAAGACTAGGCGAGGTTCAACAACAATAGCCTGAGTTTGGCTAAGTTGATTAGTAGAAACCGAAGCTCGGTTAGGTTGTTTGACAATCGACTTCTTAGCCTGACAGCTAGTTTTTGGAGCCTCTTCTTTGGGAGACAGATTTCTCCTCAAGATTAACTCGAGATGAATCATTAGAAGCCACATGGGCTGAAGTCTCATAAGAGACTTTACAATAGTTTCGTGCATTCGTGGGACTCGAAGTTCCAGAGGAGAGGAATTACTCATACTTGGATTGGTCGAACTCGATGATAAGAGTTTCGACCTCAGTTCCCACTGCAATCTGATCTGATTGCACCATCACCAGTTTGTCGGAAAGAACGGCTGCTCCCACTGTGATCGTCATCTTCTGTAAGGTCGAAAAAGTGAAGTTGATTGATTCTTATTTTAAGAATGAATTCTAACACTTGGTAAGAACCTTTTACAATCACTCACTCTCTCAATTACAGAGGAACACTCTCGATTACAGAGAAAGAGAAGATTGATTTGACCTTTCTTTTGTTTGAGGTGAGTTTTAGGTGGCGAGAGGATGTTTCACTCGATGCTTGAGTCGAGATTGCTTCCTGTTGACGATCAGAAACAGATCGCAAGAGCTTCTGACGATAGCTTAGGCTGCGGGGACCGAAGTTCGGGCCTTCAACTTGTGCACGAGAGCTTCGCTTGGAATATCCTATGATCTTCGAAATGGGATTTGATAAAAGGTTCTTTCTTCATAGCTGCTTGCGGCTATTTATAGAGTTTTAGCACGTAACTGACGTGCTACAATCGTGGGGTCGTGGGCGTAACTAACTCTTGAGATTTAGCTCATATGGCTGACTGGGTCTTCGGAGCCGTTACAATTTGATTTAATGTGGGTGATGAGCTTCGCTACATTGGCGAACCTCGTCCTTAATATCGAGCCTCGCTGCGTGGCAATCCTCGTCTTGATGTCGAGCCTCGTTGCGTGACGAGCATCATCTTTGATGTTGAGTCTCGCTGCGTAGCGAGCCTTGTCTTGATGTCAAGCCTCGTTGCGTGGCGAGCCTCGTCTAGATGCTGAGCCTCGCTACGTAGCGAACTTCATCTTTGAAAATGAACTTCGACGCTTTCCAACGAACTTCTGGATGATGTTCGTCTTTCTTTTGGCATTTTTGGATGTCTACAATTTTGGGGTGCAAACGGTTTAGATATGGCTTGGATATGGTACTTACCATATTCGTAACCACTTACCAATCACAAATATATGTCTCAGTAAGGGAAATTCATATCCATATATCCACTAAAATCATATACAGATACGAATATGCATGCGGATATATAAACAGATATGCATATGGAGACAAGACGGATTTGTGAAAATTATATAATATTGTAAAGCATATAGTTCATGATTTCATATGATACAAGAGAGTTCATTAATATGTTCGTTATATTTGAAAAGTTGAGATTAGATCAGTTGACTAATATATATTGTTTCGGATACGAATCCTGATATTTCACTGCATATACGTATCCGTAACCATATCCTATCAGATACACATTTTAGTAGCGCATTCCAATGGATACGGATACAAATACTAATATTTCCTCGGATACAGATATTTTTTTGCACAATAATGCGCTACCAAGATACAAGGGATTCTTGGAAGTGATAGAACACTTGAATAGTCTTGCTCTTGTTGCTTGCAGGTTGTTATTGCCAAATGCTACCATTTGTTCTATAGTCAATGTGTCCGAAGAACCTTGATGAGCTGGCATAGGAAGTGCCCATCCCGTGGTGCCAGTTTTGGATCTAATGGTGTCGATATATTTGATTAGAAGACAGAATGAGAACTTCGAGTGCAAGATTTGCTTGTATTATAATCAATAGTTTGTAACGTATCCCAGGAGGTAGTTTTAGTTGGCTAGATAATTTCTGGCCGCACTTTGCTGCTGCTTTGTCCATGTAAAGCTTCTGTATCAAGAGCTAGACTGCTTGGAGCAATATCCAATTATTATTCAATGATCCGACAAAAACCATCTTATTGCCTTGTGGTGTGGTTAGGATCTTTGGTGAATAAGAACATGTAGGTTGCTTCTATGAGTTCTTGTATTCTGTAATAAATTAATTTTCAGATTGAGTTGTAATAGTGAAGTTTCTATCATACTGCAGACCTCGACTTGTGACATTTTCCTTGTATGCAGTTATTTGAACGCTAAATTGGTATTACTGCTTGCAGGAGTTTTTGTTGAAAAAAATGTTCCGAATGTTTTGATGTCTAAACCTTGTGTGTTGCTTCTCATTGTCATCCTCACTCAATAGTGTAGAAACTTATATTCTTCTTATTGGAGGATCACGATACTTTCCATGGAATCTATATCTGCAGTGATCTCTTTTGAGAGGGTGTGAATTCTCACCTGGGAGCCGCAAGCTATGGTCACCCTTGGGCATGTTTATTCTCCACCTCGGACATGCCCCAGGAATCCTGACGAGACGATTGATAACTTGCAATTAGTGGCCTGTGCCTAAGCGCCATGTTCGCAAGAGACAGATTTCTCGATAGGAGTCGATCAAGAATGACTGGTCTTCCCTCTCTCTTGTCATGGCAGGTAAGCCCCTTTCCTTCAGATAGTCTCCTATTGCATCACTGGAGTAAAAAAAAAAGCCCCTTTCCTTCGGTTTTGTGATACTACAACCGCCGAAAAGGGCAAGCAGGCAGGGAGAAGAATTAGACAAGGAAGAAACCGTAGAAATAACTAAGGGTGAGTAGTTCTCTTCCCACTCCCCCTAGAAATCACCTTTGAAAGTAGGGTTATTACATAGAAAGCACCGTTCACTTTTAATCTATACGTGAACTACCTTTGTAGTGAGTTTTTGTTCCAATCATCCGCCTCCCAGTTAAATTGTCATAAAAAAAAAGCCTTTAAAAGTGCACTTTTATGGTGCGTGAGTTTTACTCTAACTAAACCTATTTTTGGGTTTAAAGTAAACAATTTGATTGATATGTGGTTGATTGGAAC